TCTCTACTTTGTTACAGTACCTGCAGAAAAGACCACAATAAGTATCTTAAAATTCCTTTTACCAAGGCATGGTCAGCAGTACACAGCGCTGCTCACAATGTCAGATGTTTATGCAGTACTAACACATAATAAATATCTTATAAATCAACTGCAAAATAGCTTTCTTTCTGTCAAAAAAGAACTCAAGTGGGAACAAATACATGAAATCTGACCTTTACATTTAGTTACTACCAAGAAAAAGTGGTTCTGTTACAATAGCTTTCAGCACTCAGCATTTTTAGATCTATTAGATGAACATTCCTATATACTTTTCCTCAGTTACAGCATATCAGGACCCTTTCAAAGAAAGAGAAAGAAAAAAAGAAAAAAAAAAAAAGCGGGGGGAAAAGGACTGAAATGCACTGCTACCCACAGCTACCAGATATATTGATTTGGAGAATATTACCAGCCACCTTGATATTGTATTCAGACATACTCTTTTTTACAATTCAGGTGTGCACAGATTTTAGAGCTCATCTAGAAGAAAGAGAAAATATTCATACTGGAACACTAGCTGCAACTAGCTGCAGCCACATAGCAGCTATGACTTTCAGGTGCTGATTACCAGAACAAGTCACTGCTATGTCTATCTTGCATTAAACCTTTATAGTCAAAAGTTTCCAGTTATACAATAATTTTAACTCTTTTGAAATAATAATTATGGACAGTAACAGAAGCAGTGCAGAATGAAAAATAATGTTTGAGCAATTTCTAAACATTAACTTATCTGCGTCAATTGAGTAGATGTCAACATTCATTATATTCATTCGCATTTTTGGGGTTATTTACACCTATCACAATTTTCTCTAGACATTACTGAGTCTCTAGGAAAAAAAAATAAGCCAGCATTGTCAAACTCTAGCTTTCAAATTGCTTCTCAAAATGGTTCAGCAGATGGCAGCTCTGCTGAGAACTTGAGGCTAAGCACTGACTTTTCTGAGGCACAGAAAATGTCATGGTGAATGACTGTATGCACCTACACTGGAATCAACTTTCTATTTCTTCACATATTGCAGGGCAAGACATATCAACAGAGGAGAATGAAAGCTTGTCTATGAAGACCAGTAATGCTATACTAAACATTGCTAGAAGCAAAGGTAAATAGCACAGTGTATTTCCTTCTCAGCCTGGAAATGAGCCAGACTGGTATTTACCTCCACAAACACCCTGTAAAATGTTGAAAGTTTGGGGTTGTTTTTTTGATATTCTGAAGCAAAACACAAGACAGAAGGCAAAACTCCAGTGTCTTTTGTTAAAAGAGCAAAGCCTATAACTTACAGAATTACCAAAAAAGAAATGAGTCTTTTATTGCTGATTGAGTTCACCACAAACAACTTCCAGTGAATACCATGTCCACTTCAAGCAATCATTTGAGATGTAAAAGTGTACTTCTGGTCATTTCTAATTCTTACCAACCTCCCAAGACATCTCTTGTCTGCTCATAATTTGCTCTCCACTTATATGGATGCTTTCCACAGAGCTGGACAGAAATGCCCCAGTCCCAAAATAAAAAGCTCTAGTTATTTAGGAACTGAAACCTAACAAAAATGTTACCAATGTTGCTAAGCTATTAATGTACATAAAGGTACATAAATACAAAATAAATGTTTAGAAAGCTTCAAAGTTCTTCCTTATGCATTGGATCATTAACCTTGCACATAATGAAATTTATCTGTTCACTTATTCAAGTAATAAACAGTTAGGATGTGGGTAACATTAGTAGTTAAAAATACACAAACTAGAGCCTCCTTCCACATTTGTCTGATCAGAAGCCTTAATGCAAAGGAGAGAGTAAAAATCTTACATTATGTTCTGAAGACTATTACTGGAGCTGCTTTTGTTGCAATAAGAAAAGAGCAGTCTCAGAAGATGGACTCTATAGAAGATCCCAATCAGGTTGCTTGTTCAGCTTCAGCACTTCTGATCAACTGTGACAGAGCATTTGCATCCAACCTGACTGCCACCCAACAGCTCAGAATCAACATTCCTGATTCACGGTTTCCAAATGCTTTGGCCCAGTAACAGTTAACAGTTCCACACAACTGCATTTATTTATACTAGAAGATTGGGGGTGGCATTAAGGATGGCAAAATCCTCCACTGAGCTTGAAAAGTCAAGCCAGACTGAAATAAGGAAGTGCCTGATCTAATCAATTTTTTACACTTGTGATCTGACCTCTTTATTTTATTTTAAATTACTTTCATAATGCATGCAAGTCACAGAACTTCTCTTTTAGAGGACCTTTAACTTCCTTACTGGACAGAATGAAGGACATTCAAAACATGCAACTGGAATTTCACAGAAAGCAAAGCAAAGCTCCTTTCTGCTCTTGACTTTGTTTTAACCCCAAGGACAATTCCAAAGAAAAATCAAAGATAACAAAAGATAACCTTCTTTCTCTGATACAAAATTTTGACATGACTTTTGTAATGTATTTATTGTATTTATTTTCATGATGTTCAAAGGTATTTTTAGGTTCACCAAGAGAAGCATTTAATACCTTTGCAGTTCCACAGAGGTATGGAGGTGTATACTTCTAATGCTTAAAGCATCAAAAAATTTTATGTCTTGGAAGAGGGAGATTAAGAAAGGACTGCAGTTACAAGGCTTCTCAAAGTTGATACCAAATATCTTTGGATGTCCAGCACTTGTGCTTTAGATTCTTATCTATGTACAGTGAACAAGGATATCACCACCTCTGACTCGCACAAATGTCAAGATGGTAAATTACTTGTTTTCTTGAAGCACTAGGGGGCTAATGAGTTCTTTAAAGAAATTTTCTAAAGAAAATAATTATTCTTTATTCAGCTCAATGTGCAAATGTCATCCCTATAATGTTGCAATTAAGAAGGCATACCTTAATATAACTTAATAGTAAGGGGGCCTATTCATTAGAAATACTACCAACCATGGTGCATTCAAAACCCCAAGCATCCTCACGTCAAGACAGAGTAGCTGTTTAAAGGAGACATTTCCAGCATATAGAGCTTACCTAGATGACAGTTAATGATTTGTGATTTAAACCAGGAGATTAGGCCAGTAATCTTGTGCTTTCCTGTACTCTGATCCTTTTATCATAATTAAAAGACTGTTACAATGCATACACATAGATTGTATTAATTACTACATCATTGTAACCTGTCTCATAATTTCCTAAATCTTCAGTGCCAGATTCAGTCAACAGCCTATGCTTTCTGCAAAGAAAAGGAACAACGTTTTACAGGCTCAACTACCAGAGATGCAGTTATTTCAGGTGATTTTTTAAGAAAGGCCTTATCTGTATCTTCAGCATAGGATTACACACACACACACACACACACACACACACCTGCCCCCATAATAGAGAGTCATCTACTTAAAATTAATGATAAAGACATTCCTGCTGAAAACTGTTTTAAGCTACTTTCTTCTCCCTGACTAATAGTTAAGTGATATTTAATCACTTATTTAGTAAGGGATATTTAATGTGATAACAAGGAATAGTATTATCTAAAGGGGTGTTTTTCCCCCAGTGATTGCAAATTAGTCCAACAGTTAAAATTTAACCTTTTAAAAATTTCACCTCATTCAGTGTAAAAGTATAACTTCTTTACCTCTGAAGACAACAGTCATTAAATTTTTCATTTAATTAACACTACATGGAAACTCACTAATAGACTATTGGGCTTTTTTTAAAAAGGCAGGAAGTTATAGTTGTATTGACTAAATCTGCATGAGCAGTTTGCCCTCTGGTGACTAACTTTATGAGAACGTTTTGCAATACAGATAAGACAACTGGTATGAATAAACAACGACTGGCATATGTGCAGGCTCCATAAGAAAAATTATTAATTGTTTTAAAATAAATGGTATGCATTATTGCAGCAGTGCAGTGTGATTTTCTTTAAATTAAGAGAAACAAACTGGACTGAAGGTAAGTGTCAAGAAGATGAAGAAAAGAAATTCAACTGCAGAAAAGACACATACAGAAAAGAACTGAAATTCCAAAATTTTGCCTAAGATTTTTGAAGGCTAAGACAAAATAAAGGAAAAAAAAATCCCTATCTGCATACATTTCTCAAGGGCATGAAAAGCAAATCCAAAATCAGGTAATCCAAAATCAGGTGGTCCAAAATCAGCAGGAAAATAGTATCATCCCTCAGTAACTGATGAGGAACAGAAGTGCAACACAAAAAAACCCCAACTTGTCTATTATCACAAAGAAATCCTCATGGACTGCGAAAAGGAAATCAAGTCAGGATCCCAGCTAGCTGCCAGATCACATTTCTTTCATATGAAATGGCTAAAGAACCGAAAAGTCATCACTTACATTTCGTTCTATTATCCAGATCACATTTATCCCATACACCTGCTTTCCCTAACAGCTTAAATCACCTTAGCAAACAGCTGTATTCCCTTATAGCTAGCTACTTAACAAAAAGGTTTTCACAAGGGAGGTCATTCTTGGTCTTGCCCTGCTTGTGTATGCAAGGACTGTTGAAATATTGAGTTAGCTGCCATGTCTGTTCACCTAAATTCTTTCTCATTGTCCTCAGCTAAGAGTTGCTGTTGGACAGTAACTACTTCAACTTGGAGATGCTCAAGCATGTAGACATAGAAGTTAATAGTAATGACAAAGGAAAGGAAATGCTATAGAATCTAAGAAAGAATTGCCAAGTAGAGTTAACTTCCAAAATCACTGTTGTGTCTTGCTTGAAATACCAGGAGGTTTAGTTAGTTTGAAGATCAGTAAAAGATGGATAATTTCTGCACTGATCACAAATATTTATCATAAACACATATCTTCCCAGCTACCTAATATGGTAATTTTCTCTTGGTCACCTAGCACATAATAAAATAAATGCTGTTTCTAGACTACTTTCCTTGTAAAATACCTTCTGAAATCAGCTCTTTCACCATCTGGCACTCCTCCTGCTCTCTCTCAGCCTCTTGTGTGGCAGTACAAGGGGAAAGAAAAAGGCAACTGCTAGTCCTCTACAATTTTGATGTGGCATTAACAATCAAAATCCTAGAAAACATGCAGTCAGCTTGACAGATATCCTTATGAATTTCTAAATACTCCTCAGGCAGTAGTGCCTAACATCTCCAATGGCAAACTACATTTTATTTAAAAGACAAACCATGAATCTGCCTAATACTTTTTAAAAGAATGAGCTGAATGTTTCTAAAACACACACTCTGATACTGCCCTCTGTTCTCATGCAGAAAGAGTTAAATATCCTCTTTTTATTCCCTTAAGGCTGCTGGTCCCAAGCAGAGGTGCCATGTTTTATTTAAAACATGCTCTCTCTCAGTAACCACTTGTTCTAATTGGCAAGGCAAGGCTGGGTCCCCAAAGCACACAGCTTGTTAGATTCAGTTTGGATTACAAAAACAGGATGAAACAAACTGCATCGAAATGTACAAATGAACGGCTCAGGAGTGCACGACACAGACATGGAATTAGATTGTAATATGAAACAAACTCCACAGGGAGGCTAGGGAACAAATTACTAGTGTCTCTATAAACTATAGAAGGGTTCCAAACGAGCAAATACACAAAAGAGAGCACAGACTTTTCCATAAATCAAGTGAATTGCTAAATTAGAAAAAAAAAAGAAAAAAATAATAACATTTCTTCTTCTATCTTATGCACACATTTATAAGGGAATGGAGGAATAAAAAAAGTTAAATAAATTAAACCCATGGGTTGCACATCCTCAATAGGTAACCCCACTTTCATGCTGGCAAAGTGCAAACATCATGGCAATTAAGTTGTATTTCTAAACATTTTTTTTTACATCAACACAGAACCTATACACAAGAGACTAAATTACAGCTGGTGCTTCAACAAGTCATTTGGAAAGAAGGGGAACAAGATATCAAGAAAAGAGAAAGAAACTGGCTTTACCATAAAGAACAAAACATACTAGAAAACAAAGCTATGAAAAATTAAAAATAATGTAAGTCTGAGGGAAAAAAGGGCTTGAGCACTTTTCTTTGCTTGTAGATCAATCTGTACAATGAGACTGGACAATCCCCTGAGATAAGAAAACACATGGAAAACATCAGTGATGTCTTGTCAAGACAGAGCAAAAAATTAAATTACAAAAAATTAAAAGACTCTTTTGTAGTCTTTTCAAATAGCCAGTATTGAGAAAAGGTCATATGTTTGTGTGAGTGTAATGTATATTTTTAACAAATGAGCCCCAGTCTACTAGATTGAATTTTGCAAGATGCAATCCAACAGCCACTAATGTCCTACAGGGTAGTTTGCTGATAGGACTGATTGACAGTAAAATGATACTAGTTATTAATTAAAAAGGCATTCAATTTTACTAGACTGTGTTAGTGAAAAGACAGACAAGACATGACAGAATAATGGCCCACTAACTTGAAGTCAGAAAGAAGAAAAGAAAAAGAGAAGGATCTGTCCTACCTCAATACACAACATTTGAGTGACAGCTGTGAAGGAAATTCTTCCACTAACAATTGCACAAAAACTTAATGGGTATTTCCTCCATCAGTGCTTGCCTCTTCCCACTATTTCATCCAGGGGAAGTGAAAGGAGGATGAAAAGGGACAAAATAATTGAACACACCAAACCAGCAGCTGAGCCATTGGCCCTGTTGACACCCTTCATCGCACTGCTGTGCACACAGCGCCTTCACAAAGCCAGGTCACGGGAAGGTGAGGGTTGTGCCTTCTGCTCAGCATCTTCTACACCTTTTTAGACAATGCACAGCCAAATCATATCAGTATTGACACAAAGCAACACAGGAGCACTGTACTCGGCAGCTTCCATGCCATCACAATGTAGATATGGACACCTCAAGTAATGTTTTACTAACTTCACTCAACATGTGATCTGTATTTTAATTCCAGAAAGGCTAGAAAGCTTCAGGTATCCCTCTCTCCCAAATTTCAAATTCTCCTGTATATACTGAGACCTAGGAAGGTACTGGATAAATATGCTAGATGATTTGGTGGATGCTTACTTTTGAGAAATGTAAAATGATTAGTCCTAAGCTTAGATCATACAACTGTATTCGAATAAATCAATTGTCTCCCAATTTGTATTTCCTCTCTAAACATTTAAGACAGGTTAGGGTTAAAAGGAGTCAACTAAAAATCCCTTCCTAACCTTTCCACAAAATATTGACCTGTTTTAACAATCCAAACAGAACTACTACTCAGATTTTTAGATTTTTTTAAAGCTAAAGAATAATGTGTACTAACAGAGTAAAAGGAACGATTGGGGTCAGCAGTGCAAACCAAGAGTATGAACAACTGAAACAGTTTATCCATTTTTTTCTTAATTCCATTTCATGGGGACTCTTTTTTTCAAGCTTAGCACATATCTCATATTTCAAGCTTTCTAATTATGCTAAGACATCTTTTTCCTATCATGTTTACCCATTTAGAAATTCTTCGGGTATAAAGTAAAAAACTGCATGTAAGCTAAACAATATCTATGGTTATATCTGAAATGTTACATTCTTTACTAGAAGATGCTCTAGAAATACAAAACATTTTTGTTGTCACTGTAACAGCTGTACAATTTTCCAAAGAAATGTTTAGCTTCAAGCTTGACTGTTGTCGTAGTTTGACACGGAAAAAAAAATTTTCTCGGAAAGAAGAGGTCAATTTAAATATTGACCAATTAATGGTGGACATGCCTCTGAGAACACAGAAGGGTTAAAAGCAAAATTCCCAGGAGAACTCGCTCTCTTTAGTTCAGGCCAGCGTGCAGTGCAGCCTCTCCCCTGCCCGGCCCGTGGCTGGGTGGGAGAGGGGAGAAGCCATGTGGCCTTGGGAGGTAGCCCCAAAAGTGGAGGGACTGGAACCCGGGCTGGCCCCCTGCAGATGGAGGGGTGGAGAAACCTGGGATGTCTCTGTTCCCCCCCAGAGCCTCTCTCTCCAGAGAGAGAGAAAAAGACAGTGGTAGTTTTTGTCAGCAGTTCACCACGGGGAGGAAGAACGGGGGGCCGCAAGGTGCCCAGCCACCCTGGGAGCTGGAGCCTGGGCAGCGAGCCATCTTTAAGAGTCGGGACTTTTAACCCTTCCTTGAAAAATGAAAACTTTGTGAAATCTTTCTCCTCCTCGGTTTGAAAGAGAAGAAGAGAGACAGCTTCGACCCTGGGATGTTAGAAGAAGAAATTCTAAATAAGAGAAGATGATGGAGTGGCTTTTGGCTGGACTTTTTCTTAGTAGCCACAGACTGAACCAATCTTCTCCTCCATGAGAAATTGTATTTTTAAGAAGATGCCGGTGAGCCAAAGAGACCTGCTTCAGCTAGAAAAAGACAGAAGTGGAGCAAACAGAGAAAAGTTAGGGAAGTTTATAGTAGTGCCCCCTGTCTTCAGAGAAGAAGAAGAGAAGATCTCTGTTCTTAGACCCTCGGCCCCAGGAAAAAATGGGGGGGACTGTAGTCCCAAAAATGAAAAACTGAACTGTTGTTTTTTGTTGAAACTCAAAATGTCTCTGACATTTTTAGAGGTTCCAGGCCTTGGTCAGAAGCATTTGAGACCCTGGCAAGCAGCTGGAAACAGCTGTGATTTTGAGTTTGAGCCATGGAATGAGTTACCAAATTTGAAGGTGGAACAAGCAGTCACAAAGGGTTAGATAGTATAGTAGAGGTAGTTACAAAATAGAGGGGAAAATTTTTTAGTGTTGTACAGGGAGGTTTTAGCACCTGTACAGGGGGGGTTTACTTTGTACATGGGGGTCAGAAGTTCTAAGATGGAGGAAAGTGGGCTGATCCTGTTCTTCCTCCTTCTTCTTCCTTGCCTCCATGTTCTTGGTGATGCTGGCACTTATGGATTGGTTTAGAGTAAAAAGCACATTGTAATATAGATAGCAGGTATTGGGGAAAATCTGTAAACATATAATACGTAATATATCATATAAAAGATAGCAGCAGCCCTGGGTGAGGGGAGAGAAGAAGACAGCAGACAGAGAGGGTGTCAGGGTGCATGTGTCTCTGCCTGGGCTGCTGAGCAAACAGCCGCAGCCCGCGAAGACAATCTTTTAGATAACGAGCAATAAACTGCCTTGAGACTGAACAACAAGAGGCCGCGGAGTTTTTCTTTGGAAGCACGGGTTGGAGGAGAGACTCTACCACCACACAAGAACCCTGAACCAAGGCGGGGGTTCTCACAGTTTTTTTCCCTCTTGGTAGGGCATCCTTGAAAGGAAAAATCCTGAAAGCAGTCTGTCCATCCATACATTAGTAGTAAGAGCACCATGCATAGAAAGGAGAGGGTCACAATTAGCAAACTTTTTTTCTCCGGGCGGTGCCATGTGTGATATAGAAGCACAGGGTGTGGCAGCTGGGTTTCTTGGGGGGTCTGTGGCACAGGAGGGGCTCCTGTCTCCCTCAACAGACTGAGAATCAATTGTCTAAAGGGTAGAAACCTGATTGGGGTCCAGGTTGTGTCTCACTGTAATTTGTTAGAGTTAAGTAGTGGGAAGAAGAATGCTTTAGAAGGTTTTCATTTAATTTTTGTGTGTGTGTGTTTTTTTTTTCTTTCTTTTTCCTTTTATAGTACTATAGTATTAGTAGCTTAATAAAGTTTTTTCCTTATTATTAAGCTTAGGCCTGCTTTGCTCTGTTCTCAATTGCATTTCACAGCATTCAATTAAGAAATTGCATTTTCATGAGGGCACTGGCACTGTGCCAGTGTCAAACCATAACAACTGTGTAATAGAAGTTAAAGATAAAGCTTGACTACTTTTGAATTCTAGCCAGTGAGGGCCATTTCTTGTAGCAAGCAGTCCATGTACTTCAAAACATAAAGATGTAAACACAGCAACAAATTCTGACGTAATGAAGCAACATATTGAGGCACTGGCTTCTATTATGAGCTAACAAAGGGAATACCATTCTGAAAAAAGAAATGTCTTGTGTAGTGGGAAAGAAAATTAGTTCTTAGTGATGTTTTCAAATTTCTGGAAACACTTCTTGCTGCTTTTCTAACAAAGTACTAAAACTTGTGGATTCACATCAGAAATTACAAGTGTGTGAAAAATACAAATATAACAGATTTGTATCATCCGAACTCAAAACTTTATGAACACAATGCTGAATGAAGCATAATTTAGTAATTACCATACAATAGGGTACAGCAAAAAAAGCACAATTTGAACTAACAACACCTAAGATGCACGTGCTGAAAAGATTTCCAGTAAGCAAGCTGAAAGCTTGACTAAGAATCAAATCAGCAGTTAATTAACAGCAAAATCTATTTAGGCAGGAACACTGATTTTTGCCAGCTTATGTTTACAATAGGATTCATTACTGACAAACACGGCAGCAATAACAGACAAGTTCTAAAGAGCTCCCAAGATTTACAAAAACTGAGAGAAAAGGAAATTGCACTATTCAATATGTCTGAGACACAAAAAACTGCCAATTTTGTAAACTCCAAAAACTCAGTGGGATTTAAGCATGACAAAATAAAGGTCTGCTCAACAAAGGAAGAAGTTTAAGATACGCAAAAATATGAAGTAACTCTATAGTCAGATATCTAAGTTCTGGCAACAGGTGTATAATCTGACACTTTTAGACTCAGATGATACATAGTACATATTAATGGCTATTTTTCTTTTTCCCTCCTTATTAGATCTTTTCAATTCAGAAACATAAAAATATTATCAAAGTTTTAAAATTTCATAATAATCTAGCATAGAGTTAATCATACATACTGAAAATACAGATGCAGTTCTAGCAATACTGACTTTCTGCTACTATAATGAAGATTAAAAATTTCTAATTTTTTTCTCATCAAGAATCCATTAACTTAAAAAACGTGTTTTATTTCAACCTAAAAATAAGACCAAGTTATAAGCCGAAGCCCCTAAAACTCAAGACAATTCTTGGGTTATATGGCTGAGTTATTTTTTCAATTTCAGTAACGCTGATCTAGTACTTTGTACAGCTGGATTAAGGGATAGGTACCCACCTCTAGAAGCTTCAATTACATGTTCAGACAGTATGCCTATGATTTTGTTTCACAAATCCATGAATACTCTAACCATATTTTATCTTCTTCCCATTTTGCAATTGCATCTCTCCACCAAACCATCCACTGCTGCACTTACCTTTAGCTTTGCACAATACTGAAAAAGCTGAAATCCATTTCCTGTACCTCTCTTTCCATTGCTGATAGAACGTAACACAAATTAAGCCTTCCAGGCTCACAATCAAATGGCTTAAAGACAGACTGCATTTTTGAGGGGTGATGTAAGTAGAAAGTGTAGTCTTTATCATTTTTTCTATTTAAATTTTTGTTCTTACTCTGTAATAGTTCATTCTGTGACTTTTCCCAGAGGTTCCAATTAAAACTAAATTCTTGAGGTACCAGGTGCTGTTTCCATGAATGCAGAATTCCTGCCTGAAAGAGTCTGCTTTATCAAGTGGCATTTCAAAAAGTACTCAAGCAATGTCCCTACCTGAAGTTGATACTAGAACTTCCATAAACCTAATGGGAGCAAAGATAGGTTAATAAAGAGCATTTTTGAAATTTTTAACTCATCACTGTCCCTTATTTAATCACTCAGAATTCGCAGTTTACTGTATTGAAAGAAGAAAGGCTGCAGCATTCTTGAAAGATGTGGCGTCACTAAGGGAGATACTCTGGCCATAAGTTACATTTTTTTACTTACCAGCCTGTACCCTGACCAAAAAAATAAACACTAAAAAAAACTCCAAAACCCACACCACTTTACTGCATTTGTATTCTAGATGCATGGGAAGTCTGAAGCAACTATATCTTCACCATTTAAGAGTGTATTTATTTGAAGCACTTCAATATGTAGGGTTACAGTAGTTCTGTATCTGGAGATTCTGAGGCATTAGTAACACATGGTCAGAACTGAATTGGAGACAGAATGTTGTGAAGTACTTTGCAGAAGTACAATTAACTTGAAATTATTTCAGAGAAGCTCTTAAATATTTCATAGTCTGTTGCTTCTACAGGGTTTAAGCAAAGCAAGACAGGTATTCCTTATTAGAACAAGCAGATGGTGTGAAGAGGAGGCAAAGACAGCTGAAAAGGGTAGCTAACTTCAAGCCCTTCTACAGTATTTATCAATCATTATGTGCAAGCTAAGAACTAGTCTGTGGCAAATGAAGAGTATTTTTGTGGTTGTACAGAAGAGCTTAATGAACTTTCTGGATCTAGATGAAAACACTGGGCAGTTACAGGCAAAGGGCTGCATGTATCTGTGCAGTATGCAGTTCATTCTTGCCATAGAAAACTGAACAGCTTATCTCTGTAATAACTTGTGAGCACCATTCCCACATTTAATGTAAGAAAAAACAAGGAATGTCAGTCTCCCTGCCTTATTATCTGGTTGCTTTTGCAGTTTGTCTCCTCTTTGGACAAATGTGGTTGAAAATTCAGTGAATTTATTTTGATAATAAATTTAGAAAACAGAAGCACTTGGTCAAACAATAGGGCAAACTAACATTACCTTTTGCTCCAATTCTGGGCTAATTAATCTGATTTATGTCAAACTTGACCATTTTTTTCCCCAAGGGATGGGTGTTATTGTTTAGGAATGGTATTCCTAAATTTAGTGTCCCACTAAAACACCAAACCACAAGCCGCTCCCTCACTTCCCCCTCCCCTAGTGGCAGGCTAGAGAGGACAATTGGAGGCACAAAGGTAAAGATCTCAGGCTGAGAATTTACTGGAAACAGCAATGAGATAAGAAAAAGCAGAAACAGAGACAATATTAGTAACAAAAATGTACTAGAGAGAGTGGTTCATATGCAAAATGCTCAGAACTGCCATTACCCAACCACTCCCTCTGCCAGAATTTCTTGACTGGAAGGCAACCCCTTATCTCTGGAGGAGTGTCCCTTTCCCCCCACTCCTGGCAATGAGTTGAGGTGGTACAGAATATCCTTGTCTACCCTGCACAAAGTTGCCCTGTCCTGACAGAACCAGAACAATGGGGAAGCCAGAAAATGCAGAAGCAAAGAAGACTTCATGTTCATGTATTTACAAACTCGTTAGTAGTTCAGAAATTCTGAAAAACCTGCTAAGATAAGGAGGTTCCATGAATAAATCGTATTGCACTGTAAACAGAATGTTTTATCCCTTGAGGGATTGTTGCTCTTCTCTCCTGATATATGTAAGAAAGGAATACTTACACAAATATAAGGGTCTTTCCTGCAGTGTGTGTCTCAAATTAATTATTTTTTTTAAAAGGAAGACTGGATTCTTCCATCTAGGAAAAAATGAGCAAAAAAAGTAATTTAAAGATTTACTAACCTTTTTCATTGTGTGGATTTCTTTTTTCTGAAATAAAGAAAAAGGAAATGATGGTCAAGAGAAATCATACTTCGAAATTTTTCCTTTGCTTCAACATATTTGAATAAATAACCTGCCATTTTAAATGAGAAAAAAAAGGAACTAATTTTCACATCCCTTCTCTGGAGTGCCTCAAACAGTGAAAAACATCTTTCAACACCCTACTTGCCTAAAATCTTGCTACCTGTGGTGGTTAAATTTACAGAAACAGGAGTACATATCTTTCTATATCAGTATATAGATAGAAACCCAGTATAGAAAATATGCTAAAAACATTTCAGTACCATCAGGGGAAAAAAAGTAAAAAATAGAAAACCACTTTTATGTTGGAATGATGACACTGAAAGGTTTTGAGTTATGACTCCAACAGAGTTGGAGTAGTTTTAACGCTACTTGTTGAAGGAACCATAGTTAAGAGAAACTTGTCTTTTTCCACAGTACCTTCTACAGTACCTTTATTCTAACCACTAGCAGCTCTTTAAGTTACTAAACTCTTCCAAACACTTATGTCATTAAAATAAACAGGCTCTAAGGACCATCTTGAAAATTTAAAAACATAAGCTCTCCCACCCTCACCCTCCCAATCACACAAGGTCTCATCTTAACATTTTACAGCAGAGAAAAATTAACTTCATTAGAGGAAATGGCATTTCAGAAAGAAATGCAGAATAGAAGCCAAGAACTCGTGTTCTCTTTAAAAAAGAAACAAAATTACAAACAAACAAACAAACAAAATACCCAAACCATAAAAAAACAAAAGAAAAGATGCTCTGCCTAATGCCTGGTCTGCTGGCTGTGAAGTGTTGGGTCCTCTGCTAAACTCAGCAAATGAGGGATGGGTTGTTTTGACATCTTAGAATCAAAATTCCTGCATTGCTGAGTACACAAACACAAGTTACTTATAGTGCTAATATGAACATAACATTCCTACTGAGTCAAAGCAAAGATTTGTTTGTGACTGTGGTCAGTAGGGAAAGAGTACAAGAAATGACTTATACTTTCTTCAATATACCATTTCCAGAGACCCATGCCTTTGGAAAACAGCCAGAGAAATACATTTTGCTGAACAACCTTTTAGTAATCTTTATTTCCAAGATGTTTGTTTAATGAAGTTATACCGAAGCCAAGATCTGCAATCTAAATTAAAATTAACATTTTTGCTTTAAAAATGCTAAATAAGCTCTAAAGTTAAAAAAAATGCTGGTCCTTTTAACATTTTATCTGTTGCCCCAAGACAGTTAAAAATCATGAGCTATGACAGGACCTTAATTACAATCAAAAGTAAGCTTACAATACCAATACTAAAAAATTAATTCAGAAGGGCAAAACCAGAAGATGCTAACAGCAAAAGGTCAAAAACAATTCCTAAGATTTTACACAATAGCAAAGACCTCACAATAAGAAAATAATATGAAGTAATTAGAACAGCCTACCAATGACTTACTGATAATTTAATGTTCAAGGGCTGCAAGTTAGAGGAAATGGAACGAGGTATTCCATACTAACTTTTCCTTTTAATTTTTTTATTCATTCTATATATCAGAAGTTATTACAAAATAAATCCTACAAAATTCCAAATTACAATTCAGACTTATGTGTTGTGGAAACCATATCATCATACAAGAGCTGTCCTGCAGTGGAGCTCTGTAGTACAAGGATGTACCTAAATTCCCTAAACTTCAAGAACTAGGTTTGATGGGTACATTTACAGAAGAGGTTCTTGATTAGCAAATAAAGGAAGCACTAAAGTGAGGAAAATCTGATTACGTGTACACACTGAAGGAAAAGAAATCCATGCACAAATCCTAAGGGAGACGCCAACAATGTGGTTTCAATAATCTAAGGGAAACACAAAACCTTTTACTGCACTTACCAGCAAAGCATTTGGAACAGAGATTCATAGTCTTGCTGGACCTGGGGCAAAAAATAAAAAAAATAGAGCTAAAAAATTCATTATATTTCTAATCAATACAGGGAAGTTTTGGGAGCAATGAAGCAAGGGTACAGAGAAGCTAAAAACTTAAATGGCTAGGAATCAAAGGTAAGTGGCTGAACTAGAAATGAGAGTATGGAAAAAGACTTTGTAGGGTAATCTCTTTCCAAGAGTTTCCAAAATATGACTTCTACACATTTACCTCATATATGAAAATAAACTTACTTCACCATTCAATGTATATGTTACGCATTCATCGTTCAAATCTTTGTATTGCAATGTGATAATAATGATAGATAGAAAGCACCAATACATTCCATTTCAATAGCAGGCTCCCCTTGGCAACAGCTCTGCAGTCCTGACAAATCCTGAATACAATACAGCAATGGAGAGATTGAAGTATTGTACTTATAAGGACACAGACAGATGTGCTCTTGGAAGTCTAGCTGGAATGTTTTAACTAGTTATTACATCAAGCTCTTCATTACTACCCTGAGCTGCATTCAGCAGTAATTTAATATAACATGGCTGACTTTGCACTGACATGGACTAGGATAGTTCATATTATCCACAAGGGTGAGCTCAGCTTTGAGGGCAGCAACCTTCAGCTGAAAGAAAAACAGCAGAACAGCAGCAATATCTTAAGCCTCCCAGATGTCTATAAAGTGCATATGCAATTATGCCACAGGTGTTCAAACCTCAGAAAGTCAGTAGCCTCACCAAAAACAAAAAGAAAAAAAATAAGGTTATAAGATCTCTCTAGGCTCCCATGAAAAACATGAAAATATCCAAAGCAATGCACTATGTTTACCCCAGTTTACAAAAAGTTCACTTCTAACACCTCACCTCCTTTACAAAGTGACCTGGAGAATATTCTCAGAAGTTCTCTATGTGTTGGTAAGAATGAACTGGTTTCTGTGCACACTGCCGAATATTTGATTTGTTCAGCATTCCTGAATCAACTTTGCCATTATTTACAGGCATTAATGCCATCCTGGGCAGGTTTGAAAGTACCTATTAACAGGCCAGGTTGTACCAAAACTGTCCATGCCTTTAAGACCTTCTTTTCCCCCCAGGGCAGCCTCTAGCTGGGACATATAATTTAGCCAAATTAGCTGCACCTTTCTCTCCGGAAAAATACATACAAAGAAACAACTGAGATTACCAAAACAGTTGTTTTCTACCTCCAACCAAACAGGAAGGGAATTTTGAGAGGAGATCTGAGTCTAACAACATATAAATTATAAAAAACTGCTTGAGACAGAAAAGTTTGACAAACTTTTCAAAACAATTGTATCACAAACAAACACATATCAGAATTATAGATTCCCCCTACCCAAATTTGTAGATGGTTATTTTAAATTACTTTCCAGTAACAAAGTAAATCCAGACCTGATCAATCATATTTTGGTATCAGTCACACTAAAACATTACAGTTGCTTTTCAATTCATGTACACCTGAAAGCTGGTTTACATTAGGCTCAAAAATTCTATAAGAACACGTATCACCGGATATTTGAGATATAACCATTTGCCAGCTATAGCAAGAGCCACAGACATATGAAAGCTAGTTTTAAATACAAACAGTATGTCCACAGGACCAAAGTTAATTCCCAAGAAAAGAAAAGCAGAACAGCATTTGTAGCCATACAAATATATCATCAGATTGGTAGATACCCAAAGATTCAATGTGTTGACGGTCTGCACAGATTATCTACCTTTAAATGAACTGCAATTAAAAACAGCATGGTGAGTCAACACCTACACAGCATCAGTGTGCTGCAGTTCAGTACTCACTGCTTATGGGTTAGACCTTCTGGAGCAGCTCAATATGCCAGGCAGGACCCTCTCTGCAAAGCCATTAAAGCCCAGGGGCAGCAAAGAAAAATAAAGGCAGAGTTCAGTTGGTTCATACTGATGACATTGGAATGGGCAATGATAAATGTTTTCTTTGGTGTAATCAACCATCTCAGCTGTAAAATATCAATCTAAAGCCTCATATAATATCTACTTATCAGCACGCCAACAATGGAAAACAGACACAAACACAACATAGAGCTCTGTGAAAAAGAGAAAAAAGGCTGCCACACACATCTAACACACAAAACCCCAATAAATTTTCTGAAAGGACTGCACTATTGGACAAGTGACCTTGTAAGCCAAGTAACAGTTACAGTTTCAAGGATCACTTTCCTTTTAATCCTTGTATGCCTTTTCAAGGCATCCAAGTCAGTCTGAAACTGCTACTAGGATGAGAACCTGAACCTTGAGTGGTTTTTCATTAGTTTCTTTTATATAGCCACTTAAGTGAGAGCAGATACACACACCAACGCTACACTAGAACTAAGAAAACAGCAAAGACAGCAACACTGATCAACAATCAGCTTCTTTATGAAAATGCAGTATTTAACTGGAGCAAAAGTTTCATAAAGTAAATGCACTACACAGTTTATGTACACCAAATTTATCAGGTCAGTGTCTGTCAAGTAAAATGTGTGACATCCTTTTTCTGTACTGCAAATCCCTCCTCTCACTGCTAGGATCTCCTCTTTTTAGCAGGCAAGGGTTCACTCACAAGACCTAAAACTGAGCAAACCTGCATATTGCTGATCTCTGGTGAAGCACACATTAACCACATCACTGGTTTAATCGTTTCTCAGTGACTCCAGAATTCACCAAAAGCTCATACTGCCAGGAAGGAATGCAAAAATGTAAAATTTCTTTGTTCCCGACAATCTTCTCAAATATATCATACACGTGCAATATCTGTTATTTCTAGGGACAATTTTATTTGAAACACTCAAAGTTCTGAAATATCAAAGTCTTAATCACAACACAGCCTTCTGTTTCCACTTCACAGGAACATGATGGTCATGGATGACTTTTAGGGAAGGCAACACAATTCCTGTTTCTAGGAACACATAACAATATCATGGCTGCAGTGGTATACTAGGCACAGCAAAGCTAGAATTCTATGTTAGTCCTGGAAATGAGAATTGAGTGTTTCAGACTGCAAGTCTAGGATGACACCCAGCATTTCTACATCCTTTTGACACAGCTGGCTTGGGATATGCTTCTGAATCAGGTATCAAATCACCACAGTTTTTAACTGAACATATTATAGTAATTCCTAGATTTCCCTCATAAAAAGTCAGCTTCATGCTGGACAGCACCTCATCCAGAATTACTCACAGTATACATTTTATATGTACAATATCCCTAGAAAGTCATTTTTATACAGATCATTTATAATCTCCACTTGTACATAATTTAAGCTGGCATTCAGAAAGACGTTCGTATTTATAGATAAGTCAAATAGAATGGCATTACTGCTGAGGCAGAATATAAAGTTAAACCCTCTTTGGAGGTACTTCCATCTGTCAAATAAAACTCCATTTAACTAAAGTGTAACACAAAATTATTACGCAATTGGAAAGCACAAGGTGAAACAAACTCAGAAGGTCAAGTGGCAGACTAAATTACACGCAGAGGATACTTCAAGTCCAGAGGCTACAGAATGATAGCATGTAACAGTTCTGCAGGATTTGGTCCGAAAACAGTGAGGGTATTAAAACTGCCTCTGCTGTCCAAGGGAAAAAACCCATTCCCTTAACAACATGGCTATGAAAGCAGTAGGGACTTTGAAAGAGGAAAAAATTTACCAAAATGGGAAACACTGGAAGTTCTAACATGTTTATACTTTAAGCAGGAAATAAATTGTGTGTAAGGGTAAAAATAAAATGCACACTTGAGGCTCTCCAAACCATCATCCCTTACTTGTGCTGTTGTGCCTACAACTCACCACAGCAAAGGGAACTATTTGAGCAATCTGATAAGACATACACACAGACCACTGTAAGGTCCCAGTCTCAGAGAGATACACATCTGCATCTCCAGTGAAAGGTGTATAATACAAACTGAGAGCCAGCAACAGTCATTAAATAGCAAAATTCACATACTTCAAATCCTGTATGTGCTCATATTGTGTACCACAATTGATATGTAACTAATTAAGAAAACTGAAGCGATTGCTTCCCTGATTCCATTTTCATATGGTAATTCCATTACATTCTTATGAAGGTGTGAACTGGCTTCATCTGCTCCAAGAAGTGCACTTGATTTTATAAACTCAATTTTATGCTCTATACTATCAATTATTCCTTTTATTCCCTGCCATTTTACAGTATATCACTGCAAGGTACCATCCAAATCAATGCACATTCTAATTTGTCTTCAATGGAAGTTTGGTTTTCCTTCCCCCTCTTCCAGTAAATGACTACCAGTACAAAACCACATTCAGAGAATGCAAGTTAATTCTAGCCCTAAAGCTCAAAGGCACAGCTGTTAGATGCACAGCAGCTGATCAGAACAAACAGAATCAAAAGACAATCTCACTCTGAAGATTCAAGAACAAGTCACATGTGGAAATTTTGTGTAAAGAGAGTTAAAAAGAAGTGTACCAAAACTGGCTGATCTCAAGATACTCAAGTCTCCAAAAACAAACTTCTGCCAAGAAACTTAGGCACACCTAATAAATAATAAAGGTTTTGGTAACAGAATCCTCCATTTTCCAGCAGATGATCAGGTGCTTCATAACTTCTCCGTCCCATCTTTAAGGTAAAAAACAAAAGGAGACCAGAAACACTAAATCTAATACTAGCTTCACTCTATACAAGTGCCAAAGGGCAATACAAAATGCCCAGTTTCACCTGTATTAGCATGCCACCTAGACTTAAGGTAATAGTGAACTAGTATTATTAGTACAGATGCTCACCAATGACAAGAATTGTGCAGCTGCCTCAGAGTAAAAATTCTACTACTACATACAAGTATGTATTCTCAATGCTTGAAAAATAACACCAGAATAATCATAATTCTTGAAACTAATTTTTGTTCATATGTCTTTTGATGATAAAAGAACAAGGATTTTGGAGGAAAAATGCTTTCTTTCATGCAGCATATGTGCATTAGACATTTAGTTTTAAAGATATTGAAAACCACAGATGCTAATTAAGTATGACTATAAAATCCCAGGTTCTGCATTTTTATTGGAAACAAAGCCTTCCAGCACATCTAGTAATGGTTTGTTATGATTCAGAAGTTGTTATGACTTGGTAGCAGGAAAACGTATCTACTTCAATGTCCCTGTAATTGCATTGGTGATTAAATGCAGCATGTTAAACACTTCTTGGTCCCCTTTCAGCACAGCAATTACAGTGGGATCACAGTGTCACTACAGTACAAATGTATCTCAGCCCCTGAATGATACCTGTCCAACATTGTCAGGGGCCCTATGTTAGAGAAAGATTAACATAGTATGAATAATGTCATTAAATACTTATAACCACAATGATGCTCAGCACATACTATGCCATGCATTTTGCAACTTAGGACGACTCTGCTCACGTTAAATCAATGCATTTTTACTACTGTAGTTAATGATCTGTCACCATTTCCATTAGAAAGCAATTTTCAAAGCCTTAGACCTCTGCTAAGAATTCACTGTGAGCTGAATCCTGGCACAGGGCAAAAGCAAAACCATAGCAGACATGTTTACTTTTGTCCAAATAAATTAGCAGGATTATTTATTATTAAAAGAAAATCAATCCAATTCTGTATTTCCCTGACACTTTTCATCATTCATTCAGAGCATCTAATGCTTTACCTTGCCCAGGAGGGAGGTTAATTAGGCTGTGTTAAGATCCTCAGTTGTCCTTCGAAAGTTCTATATGTACACTACCTTCTGAAAAATGTCATTATACTTTTCTAAATCAGAAGTCACCTCACTGACTTCATGTATGCTGTATATTCAACATTTATACATACTTTGTAATTTATAGTCTTGTTAAGGGAATATAGGCAAGTTTTTCGTGGCAGTTTAAACAATTATTCATATTTTTAAACTGAGGTAATTAAATTACTCTTCATAAATGATGCATGCCAAATTCCTTTCAAATAAAAGAGCAGAAGTGCAGCATGGCAAACACAGGTGGACCTAAAGAGAACTTGGCAATGAGAAAGTCACATGCATTCAGAAACAGATATTTTTTTTTAAGTGAACTAAGATCTGAAATTAAATAGCCCACAAATGCACTCAAAATCTACTTCATTATCTGTTCTATACCTATATGCTCAGGGTTAAGAACTTCAATTAGAAAAGTGTTATTGGTAACATTTTTTGTGATTACAGCTACTATAGGGGGTTGTGCTTTAAAACCATCGGTATCTGGTGTAGGACTTCTCATTTTCACCACAATTTAAATGTTGCTTATCATCTGAAGATTCTTGGAAGCTGCTGAAAATGATGCTTCAGCCAGTGAGCCATACTTTCCTACCCCAATTTGAAATGAAATGGAGGGCAAACTTTATGAACTTTACAGTGTATTAGTGCAATGCCCTTCTGGCAGCCTTCCACACTCAAAATATATGCTGATGTGCTGATACCCCAGTGAAGTAGCTGGAACCTAGTTTATTATTTTTTCCAACAGGTACACTAAAGCATCCTTTTTAAACTCTATGACTGGAAGACTTCTTATTTTAAATACATAAGGACACTGAAATGCTCAGTTGACAATTAGTCCAGAGAAGAGCACAAACACATTAAGGGTAAGATGGGAAAATGCGGAAAATACACAGTGAAGTAGCCGAGTCTTGCAAAACATACAAAAACACTGATAAGAGTTTTCACTGAAATCCTTCTCCAACAATTCTTAAAATAAACTGCAAAAGAATCCAGTGCATTTAAATGAGCTAAGACAGGTTGTGAGAACTTTGATCTGATTCATCTGTGTTTCTAGCTGAACTTACAAGGTTGTTGCCCTCCAGTCAAAGCCAAATGGTTCATATTCCCATGAATACACAACTCTATGCTTTAAAAAAACTATCTCAGCAGCAAAAGCATATACCAAACATTCCTCTGATAACTCTTAAAAATCTTTTTCAAGAAGATGTATAGCCTACTATTTAAAGGACAGTTAAAAGTTTCGAATTCTAAGAGCTGAAGAAGCCTTTAGTGAGGTAGGAATAAAACTTGAAAGTTGTGATCTACCCACCTTCCACCAATTCCTCAAGGATATTATTTTACAGTATATTGCAGGTAATAACTAACATTGCCCTATGACAACACAATCATCCTCCTGAGATTTACAATAAGAGATATTAACTTTATCTTTTTCTTCAGATCAGACACTCCAATAAATGCTCTGCTGATAAGCACCACTCAAAAATCTATTCCATTTCTGTTATTCCTTTTACCACAGTATAAGTAAATAGATACTAAATAGTAAAACATTCTTAGGGGAAAAAAGCAGCTGGAAAAGAAACCTCAAGAAAGAAACCGTTTTGTCCCAGGACTTAAAGGTATGGGTAATTATATATCAAACCTTGCCAGGAAACCCTCCTAAAATACTTCCTGACCTGAACTGCCAGATTTACCACAGAAAGCAGGAAAAAGTTTGATTCTTGCTGATTTTAAGCCCAGCATGTCTCTTCTGTACACAAATGCATAGTGAAGCGTTTAATTTTTTTAATCAATGTTCTTTTTCTATGGCACAAGTACACTTAAGAATGCCTGTCATTATGATGACTTAGAATGGTTAGAACGTTTGAATTCCTGTTGCAGGGGGAGACGGGAACAGCTTTGCAAAGTATTTCCAAGCCTGCAGGGTTTATGTCAAGTAACCTTTAAAAGGACAAGGTATGTAAACTGGTTTTAAAATGCTGTTGTTGCATTAGTATTAACAAATCACACCAATAAAGTCTGGTATAAATATTGTGCCATGTGTATTCTCCCAAAAGCTAGCAGAACATCAAAATTATAAAACAAAGTACTTTGTTGAAGAGCTCTACATTTTGTGTCTAACAAGTCAAACATTAATCAAGCTAATCAAGCAAAAAGGAGTTTCAAGTGTTGACCAACCCAAACATGGAGGGAGAAGGCGCTTGAAGGTGCATTATATGCAAGAGATCTGAGAGGATGAGTTAGAATCCCTATCATTATTTTGACTATTTATTGCTATGAGTTTAAAAACACTAGGAAGCTAGGTTCAGAAATAAAGCAACCAAAACTAAGAAGTAAGAGTATCCCTTGGACAAAGCAAGAAAACATTACTGTTCTGAGATGGGTAAGGAGCTGTGTCCTATTTAGTAATGACAAGGCTGTCCAGCAGGATCTCTCACCTGCCTAGACAACCCCAAAAATCAGCAATGAGAGACATTTTGCGAATGAGAGACAAACTCCCTTTTATGATTATCTGTACTCCTTGGTTTTTGAATCCTTCTGGAACTGCACACCATGACAGAATTGTGACACTTCTTAAAAAGCGTCTGAAGAATTTTGATAAGGTGTCTGCAATCCTATCTTATGACACTGTTCATAAATACATCTGAAAGAAGATACCAGTATGGAAGTTAGCGGGCAGTTTTCCTCCTCCCCATTTAAAACAAGTTTCAGTAGTCCCCAAAAGTTTGCCTGGATGTTCACCATAGGAAATTCACTTTCTTCCATCCTAGCCTGCCTTATACCCAATTGTACAGTCAAGAAGCAATGGGGCTCTTACTCTAGTCACTGCTGCCTCTACACGTGACTGACTACACACAGACATTTTCAGTTCTCAGGTGTGAAAATGCAGCTGTGTCTCATGATCCTATTTTAGAAAACAAGAGTACTTCAGCTCCTCCTCAGGAATTTGAATTGTATTAAGATTATGCCTACACTAGGAGCTATCTGCCAGTTAACTAAACAAAACATTCCTGGAAGCGGATCTATCTACACTGTTAGAAAACATTTCCACCCTGTTGTTACAATAGATAAATAAGACAAAGAAAGTAGGAAAAAATCCCACATAAAAAGTCACTTTTAAAATTGGAATGAACCACCCAAGACTATCTTACTGCTAGCAAAAGCAGATTTACATGTTCCTCTTGGTCATCACAGAATTTTGATCAATGTCTAAATAGCTCTCAAGTGGATGCCTGTCCCTAAATTTTTCTCTATCAGGTGTGAGAGGCCCCCATCCTCAAAACAACCATTCCAGAGTAAAGAAACAGAGTGTAACTCTCTTGCTATACTGCAGAAATGTTATGAACTAATGTTTTCAGCAACACATTACACTAAGTCTTGGCTCAGAACAATACTTTGGATGTTAAACCTTGTGAAGAGATATCCTCTCATAAGTACTTTGGAGTTTTCTAACAGTTCAGCATCATTCCAAACAATATGGCATTTCTAACCAGCATAAAACTACTTATAAATAATTACTTCACAATGTTTCTGTGTTAAACATTCAACTTCTAAATCTGAAAAAGACTAAATAAAACAGGTAAAATTTAGAACAACGAAGAGTTAAGGAACAAACCAACACAAACATGTTTGGTAACACCACTTCAAAAAGCAAACAAACCCTCAAAAAAACCCCAAAACACTACAAGCAAGAATTAAACTGATATTAACAAACACTTATACAAAGCAAGACATGAATCTGAACATAGAAAAAGGTGTGATTTTTTTCTTTTCCACGTGTGCACCCAGGCACAAACACAGGTAAAGAAATACAACAGCAGTTATACACTAACCACCATTAATCCAGTGAAAAATGACATTTGATAGGCTGAGACGTACAGCTCCACTGATAGCTCATATAAAGCAGCATCCTCTTTTCAGCAGTGTTCCCCACAAAGTTATTTTCTCAGGAGCTGCTAAGACACAGCGGATACTGGCCATGGAAAGTGTCTTCAGCCCCAAGATCCTTCACTTGCTTTACAAAGCAAAAGGGGTCTGCTGAATGAAACATCCCAAATAAATCCATTCAAAAACAAATCCAAAAGTGGGGCGTGTAGGAAATCTGCACAGTTAACAAATCCAAAATGAAACAGAAGTGCTTGAGAGACTTGAGTATTTTTTTAGGGGGAGGGGAACATTATTTTAGGTTTTTTGTTTGGTTGGTTTTGAGGTTTTCTCAAGCTGTGATTAAAACATTAATCATGGAACATATATTTATATCTGAAAATCTCAATTCCTACCTACATCTTCAACACAATTTCCAAGACCTGAACTTGACCCCGGGAATGCTGCTCAATGCCATTCTTTTTTTCAAGTAAGGGATTTTGCAAAGTTAATGAGTTAACAATGTTGTAGAGTTCAGTAACTGAACTGCAAATAAATGTCCTCTTTTGCTCAAATCCTATGATTCATGTGCCCAAGAGGAACAGCTGCCTTAACTCTACTTTATCTAGCTATGTTACCTGAAAACTCTTTTCAATTTTATTTTGATTAGAAAAATGCTTAAAAAAATTTAAGTGGGCTAAAAAACTACACACTAAAAAAACAGATTGTAATAAACATCACAAGCTCGAATGACTCAAGCCATAATGTCTAGAACTTGTTGAAAAATAGGAAACTACTTTAAAATAATATAATAATGCATCACAGCATCTATGTCCTGCATTTTCCAGCATTCTGAATGCAAATGCATGATCTTCAAGAGCAATTACAATAGAAACAGTACTCCAAGTTTTTTCAGAAGGAAAAAGCATCTTAAATACCACACTACAATTCTAGAGGGTGAAAAAAAGTTATTCGCTAAATGCAGATTTTAAACCTGACTTATCGCTAATATAATATGAAATACTAAAATATTATTAAACCTTCTCATTACCCACAGTTAGCTTATCAGTCTGGCTGCTGGCCTTTCTGTAATTGTAGCCACACAATTTGGTTCTACTATAGAAGAATTAAGTTTATTTAGTTACTGTAGTAAAGCTTTCTCAAAACATAGATGAATAGTACCCTATGCATTCTTTTAGTAGACAGTATTCCAGTCTGCTATTTTTTTTATTACATGTTAATTCAAGTTAACATGCACATGACTCACTGAATAAAACTGACGTATTACTAGTCTATATTTATTAATTTCTTCACAGACAAAAATTGAAACTCTTCAAACAAACACCTGATAAAAGAACTCGCTGTTATGGGAAAGCTTACTGCATAAACCTTTGCATGTTAAACTTTCTCTGTAAATAATGAAACAAAAGGAAACCATTAAATAAAAGTATTTTGAGTCTTAATATGTAAATGTTAATGATTATACAGATGCTTTTCCTTTTTTCTTTTAAATAGACCAACATCTTTCCATTCGCTTTTGCAGCTATATGGTCACTACTACTGTCATGGCATTGATCAGGAAGTGAACAACATGAAGTATCTTCCATAAGAAATAGAATGAGCACAGCATACAAAAAACAACCCAGACAGCATCAGTGCTGAATTGGATCTATCAGACAAGTGTCACAATGTCCTAACAGAACACTGGCATTTTTATGCTAGATTATTCTGAGCTTCTTATTTTTGCGTCTTTCTATACCTTTTCAAAATATTACATAAAACTACATTTCTCAAAATTCTAAAAGGAAGCAACAGCATTTGTTTCCACATATTCAGATTTGGTAGTTAATATAGCTATCCCACCAAAAAAGCAACCATTATTTAAAATATCCAAGTGCTGGGGATCTTGTCAGAGTCCTCAATTGTTTTCTTTCTGACTGTAACCAAGAACTGTTCTCTATGCATGTTCAACTGCAGCATGCCAGAAAATCAATCCCTTATATTCCACTATGAGCATCTGTACCCATAGAAGTGAAAAGAACAGATTCACAGATACATTTTAAGTATCTTTCTCCATACAGCTTGTCATCTCAGGCTTAAAGGACTCACTGTTTGAAACCTTAACTAACACTCATCACCGTAAATGCTACTGCTGTTATCCCTGACACAAAACAAACTATTCCTTATGCTGTCAATCAGCACTGCTCACAATCTGCTATAACCATATTTGAATCACTTTCGCATGGGCTAACTTCCAGCTACCACTCATCATACCTGGGGATTTGTTAAATCATTCCTAGGATTTGTTAAACGGGAACCAATGTCATGAAGATCAAAGTCTGTTATTTACTTGATTACTACCTGAAAAGACAGTCAGATCTACAACAAAAATACTCTCTCATCAGAAGTTTAAGCTTTATTTTCTTAAAGATATTATGGTGAACCGGGCAAAAAAGAAATAATGCAGGTGTTGTGATATGTATGCAACTACAGCCAACTTCAAAAGTATCTTGCAAATATAATTCCTAAAATAATTTATTTTCCTGAGAGACGTTTATGGCATGAGGGCGGCATGCATTAAATCAAAAGCATTTCTAAGAAAGACCAGCTGTGTCCCACACTGTTCAGTAATACAGAAGGTTATTTATCAGTAAATATTCTACCTGGTTTTTCTGAGCACATCCTATGAAGAAGTGGCAAATTGTTCCAGTGTATCTAATTGACCTACTAAGGGAAAGTGGACTGGACTCCAAATCCCAGTTTAGTTCTTGGCTGGAGTTTAGTTCTTTTTAAAGTCTGGAGAACTTTAAAAAAAAAAAGTAAAATATCATATAAGGCAATAAAAAAAGCAGCAAAGGAAGTTGAGGAGAGACTAGAGACTGCTCATCTTTTATTAGATGGTGCTCACTTCCCCTTAGCCTTCACACTTAACCAAGGTCATACATTTAAATTCACTGTTTGTTCAGTAAAAAAACGTTAATGACTCAATATACTTTCAAATATACCACTGGTCTAAAATCCATAGGTTGTACCCAGCACCCTTAAAGATGATGAAAAGTACCCACAGAGGCAGGAGTTAACATAGTGCCTGTCTGCTGTGTTAACAAAATCTGTACTCTGGGTCTCTGCTAGTTTGCACTGAACATTTATAATTCTCTAGGTAGTCTAACATCTGTGAAACATTTTACAACTCAAACTATCAGCACACATGGGTTTCTGCTGTTGTAAACACTGAACCAGCTGAACTACTAGAAACACTAAAAATAATTTAATGTATAAAGGAAATGCATTACAGAAGCAGGCTACCAAACTCCAGTACCAGTGGGTGAGTCACAACAAGACTTGCAGCAAGTTCAGGAGATCTTCCCTCAGCTCTATAAAATCCAAGTTAAATACATAACTTTACACTTGCATTGGAAAGCTCTAGTGAATGCCATCTGCAGTGGGCACTACTATATGATAATTTTGACTGCAAATGCCCATGTCTGCAAATGAATCCATAGGAAAGAAATACCACTCAACAAAATTAGCATTCAGTAATCAAATGCATTTATTTATGTAGTAGCCTTCTGTGTTATTAGAAGGGGAAATGCTGAATACTGTATTAAATGAAACTGGATCAATATTACAACTTAGCATATTACAGGATTCAGTATGACGTAAGCACAACAACCCAGAAAACTTGCCCAGTATAGAAAAGAGAAGCAATTACACAAGCATGTATCTGTCTGCCTCCTTTTTACACTGTATTACAAGAATCCTGGTCTATTTTTTTCTGCTTTTCTTTTCGGCATAATAAAACTAGCAAATCAGAAGGTGAGAGAATCAATACATTGGAAGGTATTATTACCAAGGAAAGAATCTATAAAAACAAATATGAATATTTACTATATTTAAATAGAATGAGAGTCCTTCACAAAATGTTTGAGAAATGCCAAAGTGAATAAATCATAATTTTTACTCACTTCCTGCTCCCTCAGTGAAGGTTTGCAGGAACTCCCACTTCTGCTCTTGAGACTTTAGTAACTTCAGCAGAAGAAAAGAAGTAGTTTGACAGGCCCACTAGATCTACTGAATAATTTCAGCCTTTAAGTGTCTCTATAGAGGTTAAAACAACAGAATAAAAGCAAGTGAGACACTTTCTTTCAGTAGTCCCTTTTAAAAATGGTAAGTGGCTTGTTATTTTCAAATGGCTGTGGTTTCAGATTCCAGAATTTTATTCTCCTCCAAATTTCATTGGCAGGTCATCTGAGAACTGTAATTACTGGACATTCTAAACATAAATTTTGTATGCATCACATAAGGAATTTTGTTTCCTTGTATCTTAAAGTTAAAAAAAAAGTAACAGATCATCTTTGTTAGAGTCAGCTATGACATATTAAATGTTCTATTAAGTAAGAAAACACTAAGGTCCATGGCTTCAATGTAAGTGAGATATATAGATATAGAGAAATATATAAACACACATCACAGAACAGTCAAAGTTGGAAGGGAACCACAAGTCCAACTCTTAAAGTGAATGGCCCATACAGGGATTGAACTCACAATCCTAGCATTAATACCACCATGCTCCAACCAAGATAGAAATATACATCTATAGATAGACAGCCAGATAGATTATATATATAAATTTATATGTATATTTGTATTAGTATACTGTTAATGTCAGTTTATGGCTTGTGAAATGTGCTGTCTGGAAACCTGAAATCAACTATTAATCATAAGCTCAAGCAGTCAGCTCTTGGCTTTTATAATGTAAAAGTACAAAGCAATATACAGATATATTGTTTAAAAGTCATTTTCTCTAGACAACAATTTCTAAACACACATTAAACCTTTGCATTTGAAATAAAATGCCCTAAAATTATGAAACAATGTTCTCCCGTGTTAAATACTCACTCTAGGGGAAAAAAACAAAAAACAAACAACAAAAAAAAAAGCCACCCAGAAAACCTCAATAAAAATCCACAAATCCTCCCATTTCCTCAGCTATCTTATGCTATTTTTGGTATTAAAGCTTATTTTAGCAAAGTGACCACACTTTCCTAAAGCTTCAAGATGCAGATAGAATTCTAGCTTGCATTTAACTACATCATCTTTCATAGTTTACCCAACAGCTACAGCAACCATCACTGTAAGTAATTTCAGAGGAAAAAAAGTTATATTCAGTTTTATATTTTTGCAACTGTGCAAGAAAACCATAACTACACTGCAGATTTCATTTTTCCTTTATAACAACTATACTAAAACTGGTTACCCTATGTGGGCAAAGTTTTTTCCTATAATACAGCGTGAACATTTCATCCCAGAGCACAGGGTCCAGAAGCCTCCTCAACAATAGTGACAAAATGGTCCAAAGGAAAAAAAAAAAAGTTTTTTAACTACCTGCTTCTTACCTCTCAGCTGCCAATGGGACAGACTGTCGTATCTGTCTCTCCTTGTTCTGCAGTTTGTTCCCTAAAGGTAAGCATCTTATTTTGAATCATCACTTTCAGTTGGAATTGAAGTATTACATCTGTGGTTTTAAAAAAATTCCTGTGAATTGGAATATTCAGTTGAATACTCTGGTCTTCATTTTTCAGTGAAGCTCCCTGATGTACAAAGCAATACACTTGTACATCAGGCCCAAAGGTTTTGAAAAATTTTATCTTACTATTATACAAGCTGAAGGTCAGTGACTGCAGCTTACTTCTGGCATTTATAGCATAGTAAGAAAAAAAAGGTTATATGATTTTATAGAAGTGTCTCAAATAATTCAAAGGCTGCTTAGGGGAAAGCAAAACATCTCCAAAAACATTAGCCTTCTCCATAAAAGCTGTTTTGTATGAAAGCTTTACATTCAGTTGATACCACATGTAATTACAAAAGCAGAATTTAAGTGGATGGAGTAATGTGGTTTTTTTCACTACTGACTCATTTTCCAAGTTACTGAGGCTTTTGAAACTGCACTGAACCAAACATCACACCCTGGAATGTCAGAGCTCACAGCTTTGTCTAGACTCACAGACTATTTCTTACCCAGTGCAGGTATCCACATGTCACTGAAACTAGATAGGCTTTCTTGGGTGCATTTATTATGGCAAACACTGTTGGTATAGGCAAAAATATTCCAAATACCTTTTAAGCTCACAGGATCATACATACATACTTACTAATGACAGCTACTGTCCCTGTCTCTTTGCCATGCTACCTCTCCTCCGATTTTAACAAGAAAGTATGGGAATTTTAAAACCTGCTGATTTAGGATACCCAAACATAAGTATATTTTAAACACCTTTTTTTTTCTGTTACCATCATCTAAATTATTCCCCTCACACTGGTCAATGTGTTCAGTAATCCTATCTTGTAAGCTCAAACAATTTATTTGAACACTCTGTTCAGGAAAAATCCTACTGCTACTAGTGTTGCCAGATTCCATGAGATACTCAAACATATTGCACAATGAGGCTGCAGAGAAATTAATATATGAGTTAAAATGAAACAGAATGGACCTAACTACATTTATTCTTCCAAATTCTTCCCTCAAACTTGTAGACCGTTTTACAGGCTGTAAACATACTCATGCAAAAAATCCACAAAAGAAAAATTACTGTATCTTTCTCAAGAACAACAAATACTTGGAAGGAATTTCCAGCTCAAGA